ACGGGCGCGAGGTCGACGACGATGCCGGCGTGGAGCACCTGCGGGTAGCGGCGGAGCAGGTGCGGGAGCTCGTCGCGGCGGACGCCGATCTTGCCGAGGTAGTCAAGGACGGGGACCATGTTCTTGCGGACGCTGCTGCCGAGGGCGAGCGGGTAGGCGGCGAGGTCGTCGGGGCCGAGGCCGAGGGAGCGGAGAAACTTGACGCGCTCCCGCATGACGTCGACGGTTAATACTAGTCCATCCGGGTTTTTCTTTGTAAAAACGCCAGTACCTGGTCGTTTTGTCCGGCGTTTTTACAAAAAAAATCCGGATGGACTAGTATTCACCTTAGGCACGATCAGGTGGCGGTCAAAGCGAGCTGGCGGCCACTGACTCAGCCAAGTCAGCAAATACGTAGACGAAATTGTACATACGGACCAAAGTGAACCCCTTGCGCAAGTACGTGAACCGTAGTTTGGGTATTTTGAAGTAGTGGTCCCAAACTGTCAACCAACTCAAATTTAGTGACCTACAGTAAATTTTTCTCGATAAAAAATGTGCAGATGCAATGTTTGTGTCGCGGGGATTAAACAATACTACCACTTGATTTTATTTTTTAGAAAAAACTAACCATACTAGTAACCCACCATTTTTGTTTACGTGGCGAGGAACAAGTATTGCCGGCTCCGATTCTCAAAAAAAAAAGAAGTATTGCCGGTTCCTGTCGCCGGCCAGCGTACGTATCGACTGCACGTCACATAAAAAGATTTCCTCCTTTTGTTTTAATTTTTGCTACTGTATGTGCCATGATGGCAAAAAGATAAATGGAGCGGAGATCTTTTGTGGGAAATGAGGCGGACATGACAACGAGTCATCATCATTTCTGCCCTGGACGGGGCGCATGCATGGCAATGGTAGAAAGAAACAGGGCCGGGGAAGGCAAAAATCTAGCTTTTGGGCGAGACGTAGAATCAGGCGAGCCGGCAGCGGTGTGTTTGTGCCTTTGCAATTCAATGGGACAGCTGCCTGAATGAAGCAGTTCAAGGAAAATATCTGTCCGGGGCAACGGGAGCTTAGAGCAACTCCAACGGGTCGATCCAAATGGACGGCGATTTCGTCTGTTTTTTATCCGTTTGGGTCGGTCGCCTGCCCTGCGTCCGTCCTCTTTTAGATTTGGATCGGTAGCGTGCCAATTGCGCTGACTCATATGTGCCGGCGTGGCCGGCTGGCCGCTCAATATTTACATTGATTTGCATTCAAACATATTGTCAAATAACATAGTATTATCGAATAAAAAAATTATAGTTTTACAAGCCGGATACAAATAAAAATGTTTCACATAGTTTTGCAGCCGAATGAAAGAAGATACATCTATTGGTTGCCAACATGAGCCCACATATGCTCAACCAAATCATTTTGCAGTTGCACTTGAGTTTCCCAATCACGCATGTCTTCATGAAATTGGGTGAATTGTTCAAACGTTGCCTCTACTCCATACTCAGGCACAACATTCTCAACCTGAAACTGAAACCCTTGATCGTACAGACGTTCTGGGCGCTTGTCTTCTACGATCATATTGTGCATGATCACACAAGCAGTCATCACCTTCGACAGTTTCTGCTTGCTCTAGGTATTAGCAAGATACCGAACGATGCCCCATCGAGATTGCAAAACACCAAAGGCACGCTCGACATCCTTCCTGGCACTCTCTTGCTCCTGGGCAAATATTTTCCTCTTCTCTCCGACATGGTTGGGTATTGTCTTGACAATAGTGGTCCACTAAGGATAGATACCGTCACCCAGGCAGTATCCTTTGTTGTAGTTGTGGTCGTTGATAGTAAAGTTCACCGGTGGGCTGTTGCCTTCGGCAAGCCTAGCAAACACCGGCGAGCGCTGATGCACGTTGATATTATTGTGTGATCCAACCATGCCAAAGAAAGAGTGCCAGATCCAGAGATCTTGAGACGTCACGACCTCTAGGATGACAGTGCAAGCCCTGACATGTCCCTTATACTGCCCTTGCCAAGTAGAAGGACAGTTCTTCCACTCCCAGTGCATGCAGTTCTATACTGTCAAGCATCCCTGGGAAGCCCCTTCTGGCATTCATCGCCAACAAATGGGTTGTATCTTCAGCCGTCGGCTCTCTCAAGTACTCAGGGCCAAACACGGCAATAACAGCCTTGCAGAACTTATACAGGGACTATAGGCATGTAGACTCGCTCATACGGACGTACTCGTCAATGAGATCACCGGGCACTCCGTATGCAAGCATTCGGATGGCGGCAGTGCATTTCTGATAAGGGGAGAAACCAATCTTGTCGACGGCATCCTCTTTGCACTCAAAATAGTCATCATAGCCGACCACTCCCTCTCTAATACGGTTGAAAACATGCCTACTCATACGGAAACGGCGCGGAATTTGTGATGTTTGAACAACGAGTTTGTTGTATCAAAGTAGTCCTTCCAAATAAGGAAATGCCCGCTTTCTCGGTTGCGATTCAACGCCGGAAGATGGCCCGAAATGGAGCCACGAAACAACGGCCGCTGGCTGTTGAGGTGGTGATGGACCAACACGGCAGCCAATATCTCCTCCTCGTCGTAGGACGACGAATCGTCGGAGTCACAAAGGAAATTGTGGAAAAAAACTCATCGACGGAGTCCATTTTCATACCTTGGCAAACTGTCGAATAGTTTGCAGGCATCGAAGAAGGAGAAGGCCGGCGAGGGGAGTCGCGTGCACACGGACCAGCTAGCTGCCCTACCGACTTCCGACGAGTGGGCCGGCGTCCGACGAGCGTGCCGGTGAGGATTTGGCCGGCGCGGCGAGGCGGCCTCTTAGTTGCGGGCGGCTGTGCAGTTGGGGGAGCGGCAGTGGGAGACGGTTTGCTCCCCGACGGCAAGACGGCGGTGGCGGGGCGACGGAGGGAGTGAGCGGCGTTGCTGGGCGGATGTGGAGGCGGCGGCAGCTGGCAGAGTCGCCGGTAAAAAAGGGCGGCGGTGTCGACGATGAAGAAGGCGGGCGAGGGTTGCTGGGGTGGGAGAGGCTAATAAGCCACTGACCAGCGGGCCCGGGAAAAGGAATAGACGCGCACGCATCCGTCTCGTGTTCGCGCTGACGCAAATCCGGCTCAAAATTGAGGCGGGAATGGGTCGTCCGCGGACGAAAAGCGGACGCCCGTCCGTTTTAAATCGGCACGTTAGGCCGATTTTTCTGTCCGCGCCGACCCAACCGAACAACGGCGGATGAAATGGGTCACCCCATTGAAGTCGCTCTTAAGACTTGACAGCAGCTCGCATGGATCTACTCCTTCCGTTCTAATGTAAGACGTTTTTACAAACTAAATTAAGTTATAAAAATGTCTTATAATATGAGACAGAATAATACTATTTTCATAGGAAATGGGAGAGATCAGGAACGCGGTTAAACCGAGCTCGAGCTCAGTGTGAGCTCGGTTAAATAGTAAAAAGAAAAAAAAAGAAACATTGACAAATGTTTTGATTGCTTGTAAAGTTTCAATATTGTACAACATTCGTGAAAAATGTGAAAAAGTTGATGCTCTAAAAGTATTATTTTCAAAAACATTTTGAAGCATCAATTTTATCCTTTTGTCATGTCTTTCGCGAATGTTATTTCATGATGAAACTTGAAAAAAATAAACTTTCAATCTATTCGTGTTCAATCACGGAAGTAAAACGAATATCGAAAATATTAAAATTACATCCAGATCTGTAGACCATCTGGCGACGACTACAAGCACTGAAGCGACACAAAGACTTGTTATCGTCATCGCCTCTCCCTCGCAGGAGCCGATCAAAACTTGTTGTATTAGACGGTCGAGAAGTCGTCGTGCTAAGGCCCTATAGGGCCAGCACCTCAGAACAGCAACCGTTGCCGATGAAGAATAGTGTAGATTGGAGGGATCCAATTTGAAGACATACGGACATAGACGAACGACGACCAAATCCGAGCAGATCCACCGAAGACACATCTCCACACACACGGGCGATGCTAGACGCACCACCGGGACGAGGCTAGGCGGGCAAACCTTATTCCATCTTCAGGAAGCCCCCGCCGTCTCGTCTTCCTGAAAATGACATAAACCCTAACAAAAGTAAAAAATAAAACATCTAAATAGGGAGTCCTCTTGCCGGCAAGGGCCCAGATCCACCGCGTCCTCATGGCCCCTAAGGCCACCGAAGACGAAGCAGCCCGACGGTGGCGCCGGAGGAAAGCAGAGAAACCCTAATCTTTTTTGGAAGGAGGAGGCGGATGTGTGTTGTTGGGCGTATACATCGTTTTCTGCTTTTCATTTCGTGATGAAATTTTGCAAGCAATGAAACATTTGTCCATGTTTGCTAGAAAAAAATCCAGATTTTTTTATTTTCCCTAAAAAAACCAAGCCTCATTTTTCGGCAGGAACGTGTGTCACGTGTGTAGGATGGGATGGTGGCAGATTACGAAACATTTGGTCAACTAGTAGTGTCTCCTTATAAATCTCGGAATAAACTCAACCTCCATTCTCCCATCGCGCGCTCTCTCCTCCTCCTCCCAAAAAAGATTAGGGCTCATCACCCGACCAGTACAGTCATCCTCACACAAATACCAGTTCATCATTTCGGTCTCTCTAGAACTGTAGTAGTAAATCCTTGTGTTCGATCGAGCACTGCGTCTGTTGCCACTGCTGGGACTCAGATTGCTTTTCTCCTCAACTTTGGCATTCGATGGGTGTAAAGGTCTTCCCTTCCCGTTGGCCATCATTTCCTCTTCTTCCTTTGCGCTAAACAAATTTTGTTTAGCGCCACCTCCACCTGACCTGACCTGACCCCGGCAAAAGCAAAGCCAAGCGCCTTGCCATTAAAAGGCTTCCTTTTTTTGGCTCCAAATCTGCGTCCGGTTTGGTTCCTTCCTTCCACCAATCTCTCCGGCGGCTCTCCTATTCCATTCCACCATCGAAATCCAACCCTTGACCTCCCTCCAATTCCCCAAGAACAAGCATAAGCAGACAAGCTTGGCCGCTCCGATGGGGGTGCTCGCCGACAGGCTCAGGGCCTTCTCCACCAACCGATGGCTCGTCTTCGTCGCCGCAATGTGGCTGCAGTCCATGGCCGGCATCGGCTACCTCTTCGGCGCCATCTCGCCCATCCTCAAGGCCGCGCTCGGCTACAACCAGCGCCACGTGGCGGCGCTCGGCATCGCCAAGGACCTCGGCGACTGCGTCGGCTTCCTCGCCGGCTCGCTCTCCGCCATGCTGCCCGCCTGGGCCATGCTGCTCATCGGCGCCCTGCAGAACTTCCTCGGATACGGATGGCTCTGGCTCATAGTCACCAAGCAGGCGCCGCCGCTGCCCCTCTCCATGGTCAGTAAGTCAAGTCCCTCCTCTGCCGCTGCTTCTTTCTGTCTTGCTTTCTTTCTTTCTTTCTTTCTTTTTGAATTGTGCGCTGCTTCTTTCTTAGATTGGTTGATGATACTATGAATCTGATTGAATCACAGAGCTGTTCAAAATGGTCCTCAACTTTGAATGCTACTGCTGAATTACACACACAATACATTCAGGTCGTCGTGCCAATTTGTTTATGGAATTGCAAACAAGGTGGGCTGTAGACCGCAGAGCACATGATAATTAAATAAAATGAGGGGCACATGATCATTAAATAAAATGAGGGTTACTGGCTGGATAGGATCAGCTGATGAAAATGGCGTGGAGGGAGAGTACATCTTAGATTAAATCAGTTTTCTAGGCACCGGCTTTCTTGTGAAATTGACTAATCACACATGTTTAAGTGTGAAATGCCGGCCCGCCAATGGTGTATTCTTCTACTCCTAGTGTAGCATTCTTTATTTACAATAACTTGTCCTTGTCACTACTTTTGTTTTCAGTAGTCACCATGTTATGCCTAATTATTTACTGTCACAGCAACCAATTGCCTATTTGTCAATATTCAAGTCTTCAATTCTTTATCAGCGTGAGTTGATGCAACAGAGATTATTCTTAATTCGAATATTATGTTGCTTTTTTAACACAATTTTCTCTCTATAATATTTTAATGGATTCACTATAAACTTTATTGGCCTTATCTGGATTAGATGGCCAAGTAGTCTAGTCTTACTTCCTAAACCTCCTATGTTTCTCCAAATTTCTCACATGTCAGAAGTAGTATATTGTAAATTTATGGCTGTCAAGAGTGTGCACATAGCTTTGCAAGGTGTGATGTTTGATTGCAAAATCTGCACGCCATATCATAAATCATCATCACAATCACTATGATTGACCGGTGAATGGCTGAATGGTTGCTTATTTACAAGTAAACAATTAGTTTGTCCACATCATTTTCTACACAGCCTCAGTTGCTTCTTCAAGCAAATGTTCGTGTGCAGCTCAGGATAATGTAACCCACACATTTGTTGCTTGCCATGCAGAGCTGCATTCTTTGTTTTGTTTCTATCTCTTAAATTTATGAATTCATATATTGTACACTATGTATGCTCAGTTCTGTATACGGAACTACAGAGAGAATGCAAAAAGCTATAGAATTGGTATGGTCTTCTCCAAATAAAATTGATGAACAGTTTCATTGTTGTCCAGATGGCCAGGATTCCAAACTACGTGGAGGAAATAGGGAATCCCCACAATTAGATAAATATGAAACAAAAATCTGGAAACTGACTAGTTATTTGCTTCCCTTTGCTCAATTTTCGACACTAATATAATACTTCTTGATGTTTTTAATTCAGATGTGTGTCCTTATTTTTGTTGGAACCAACGGCGAGACATATTTCAACACAACTTCACTGGTTACATGCATCCAGAATTTCCCAAAGAGCAGGGGCCCAACTGTGGGCATTCTGAAAGGATTTGCTGGGCTTAGCAGTGCAATTCTGACTCAACTGTTTGCAGTAATGCACACACCAGACCATGCAACTCTTATCTTCATGGTCGCAGTCGGGCCGTCACTTGTTGCCATTGGCCTCATGTTTGTTATAAGGCCTGTCGGGGGTCACCGACAGGTGCGGTCATCTGACAAGAACAGCTTCATGTTCATCTACACCATTTGCTTGCTCCTTGCCTCATATCTCGTTGGTGTCATGCTAGTCCAAGATTTCCTGGAAGTGAGTGATAATGTGGCTATTTCTCTCACAGTGTTTCTTTTCGTCTTGCTTATTTTACCGATCGCGATCCCCGTGGTCCTGACGTTTAGCTTGAAAACTGAATATCCAAGTCCATATGAAGAGGCTCTGCTGTCTGAAGCATTAAAAGGAGAGGCAGGTACTTCACATGAAAGGGAGGATCAACCAGAGTTGATTCTAAGTGAGATGGAAGACGAGAAGCCTAAAGACATAGACTCTTTATCCCCATCTGAAAGGAGAAGGAGAATTGCAGACTTGCAGACCAAGTTAGTTCAAGCTGCAGCAAGAGGTGGGGTTAGAGTCAGGAAGGGACCACGTAGGGGGGAGAACTTCACCCTGATGCAGGCATTGGTCAAGGCTGATTTTTGGCTTATTTGGTTATCGCTTCTGCTCGGGTCTGGATCAGGGCTGACGGTGATTGATAATTTGGGTCAGATGAGCCAAGCTGCTGGTTTCAAAGACGGGCATAACTTCGTGTCATTGACGAGCATATGGAACTTCCTTGGTCGTGTTGGAGGTGGCTATTTCTCTGAGAATATTGTCAGGTACCAACACTAGGTTCTCCACATTTTGATCTGGCATCCACTGTTAACACAGCAAATAAAAATGATTGCTATCATTTTTCAGTAGCTGTATTTTTTTGCGGTGCTCTTCAGTACCTCTCAAATTTTGGCCAGGCTTTCTTCATACATTGACCAACTATTCTTCTGATGATCAGGGAACATAAATACCCAAGGCACATAGCATTGGCCTTAGCTCAGATACTCATGGCTGCTGGGCATTTCCTCTTTGCAATGGCTTGGCCTGGAACTATGTACATGGGAACCTTCCTGGTTGGGCTTGGATATGGCACTCACTGGGCTATTGTGCCGGCTGCTGTTTCTGAACTTTTCGGTGTAAAACACTTTGGCGCAATGTATAATTTCCTCACAGTAGCAAACCCCACAGGGTCGCTGATCTTCTCAGGTCTCATTGCCAGTAGCTTCTATGACTATGAAGCTGAGAGGCAAGCGCAGCGCCGTCAGAGCTCAGCGTCGTCGTCTCCACAGTTTCTTCAGGGCATGGGTTTACTTGCAGATGGGCCACTGAAGTGTGAAGGGGCTGTTTGCTTCTTTGTCAGCTCGTTGATCATGTCAGCGTTTTGCGTCGTGGGTGCTGGCTTGAGCCTTGTCATTGTTTACAGGACCAAGCGAGTCTACTCTCACCTCTATCGATCTGTCCGGTGATGAACTTTTTTCCATGGATAGATCATCCCCGTTGTACCATGTACCATACATACATTATTGAACATATGATTCATGAATCAAGATACAAGAAGCTAAAGTTTGTTTGTTTATATAGTTGCAGACCATTTTTATAGTTTTTTTTGGAAGGGCAGACCATTTTATAGTTTATACTGTAAGCAACCCGTTCCCAGATGTAAATTGCAGGTCTTTTTTGTCCGAGGATGCGACTGTGTATTTATCTGTCAAATGCTATTTTACTTTGGCTGTAATGAACCCTCTCTCATGATTATACCTTGTATGGTTTCTGCCAATGCTGGAAACATGAAACTTGTGAAACTGCCCGGCTATTTTTATTAGACTTTCTTGCCGTGTATGAACTTGTGACTAGTAAATGTTGCCATGCTTTTCATGTATATATAGTACTATGGAATAATAACCTCAAGTGACCAGGGTCAGGAATTCAAACTGCAAAATGATTGTGGGGTGGAGCATCTCCAAATTTTGTTGCTGGAGTTTTCATGCTATTTATGTACCAGGTATGCACCACCTTGACTGTGATCTTAGTTCCATCTTGAAACTGAACACATCAGCTGCCTAACTTCAAGCTACTTGCAGATCTGGCCATCTATCTATCTATCTATCTATCTATCTATCTATCTATCTGGGCTGCCCATCATATGGACGCTGCTACTTTTGTCTGGCAGCAAAACTCCTAGAGACTTTGTTGTTTAGGCCTGTGAAAATGACACATTATTATCCAAGTGATCTTCCTTTGGTGACTGGCAGCATGTGTATGTAAGCTGATCCTGTCACCTGAAGATTCAGCTCCTAGGTGCTACTGCCAAACAACTATCAGTTCTTGAACAAAGTGACAGAAACACAATCTGCTCGGCTCAGTTCTCACACAAGTCAGCTGCCACATTTTCCTTGTGAAGACACTTTTCTACAGTAGTTCAATCTGTAATCAATGTTAACCTACTATACACTGAAATTTGAACAGCTGGGATCTCCTGGCTTATCAACAAGAGCACAGAGTGGCATGGTTCAAGATCACACAAGAGGCATTCTGAAACTGGATGCAACTCAGAGCTGAATGCAGACTCACTCTTCTTGTCTACTTTTTCTTTACATGCTCAAATGAGGCAAATTTGAACCTGGGGCTGTGCCATGATGTATTATTACCAGCAACATCCTTGGATTTTTTGTTGCAATAACAGAATATAAGTAGCAGGTGTGTCAGCAGTGCTAGATATTTTGCTAGTTCTTGTGCTGCTACTGTCATATGCCTACTTTTATTATTTCCTCTGAGATACCAGTACAAATTGCTGGTGAGGTGATGATGTAGAGAGGGTGTGTGTGTGTGTACTTAAAGGGTAACAGGGAGAGTGGGGCCCACATGGGGGGAGAAAAAGGTTCTCAGTCTGCACACAAGGTATCTCTTCTCAGGAAAAAAAAAGAATTAGGGTTCACCGGACTGGAGAGGAGAGCAAAGCTTTTTGTGGCTGGTGGTTGTGATTTTAACTTAACCCTAGGCATAATCCTTGCTAGGTTAGTAGGAAATACCTGAAACAACCCTAGTCACATCTGATTGATCTAACAACACAGCACTAGGGTTACGCTCCTGCTGTACCTGCGCTGTGGTTTTACAGAAATAGCCCCTCCCTAATAAAGGTTTCTCACCTTATATAATGCGTATACGTACCTGCCCATGTATACACTCCAGTACCATGACGAGTGGGCCCAGCTGGGGGATACTTAAGGACACTTTCCCATGTGCTCCGCCCTGTATTAACGTCAAATCTACAGCTTAAAACAGCAATTAACAATATTAAAGCCCGAATTAAAGCACATAATCAACTCAGCCTTTTCCCCCCTAAAGATAAAGAAATACCAGTAGTACTCCAGTATGTTTTGTATCTGAGCCGGAAATGGCGAGAAAGCCCCTGGGTTGACACCCGGCCTGGGGTTTGGGCCTGCACTGTGGGGGAGTTTAATTTGGGGCACCAAATGAGGGCAAAGTTTGAAACTTTTAAAGGCAAACAAAAAACAAAGGCGGAATAATAATCTAATCTCTATTTTTACAGGACACAGAGGCACAGAGGCACACGGCCTGACCTACACTCGCTCCTTTTTCTACTACTACTGCTGCTCTGCTGCTACCCCTCTCATTTGGTATTACGATTTTTGGGGCTTTGACTAAAAGTCTTGAGCTAAAAAACTTCATTTTTTTAGAG